ATATCGTCATCTGTCGTTGGTTGTTCAGATTTTTCTTCAGACTCTTCCTCTCGAGCAGGGAAAAGCTTTCTCCCTACTGGCTTTTTCTCCTTGCCTCTATCCTTCTTTGGAGGCTGGTTGCTGCTAGACTTCGCCATCGCTTTCTCGTTGGCTTCTTTTTCTGCTTTCCTCCTCCTCTGTTGCCTTCGCTACTAATACCTTGACATGGGATTCTTTCCCTTGTAATTCTTAGATCCATAAGTTTGTTGCCTTGACACTTGGAATTCCCTTCGATATGCTATTGAGGAGCCTCGACCCATTTCAAAACTCTGTCATCTGTCTTGTCTTTGCTCTCTCTTCTTAGCAGGTTTCACCCATCTTCCCTTGGGAGCATCAGCCGTTGGTTTAAAAGTAGATGACCTGTTAGCCTGGAGGCTTGGACCTCCTTGTTCTTGCCTTCGAGGAACTCCCCTTTTGTCGAAGGTGTAGTGATTGCGGGTATCTTTCCAATTTATTCCGTGACTAGCCACTCAAACTCTCTCTATATACTTCGCGGCCTTTTTGTTGAAGACAAAGCTACACCTAGGGCACAACGTCACTTCAGACTTCTTTCGTTGGCAGCGGCGGAGGAACTCCACTAAGTTTTCGTTATTATTTGGGTAAGTCAGCTCCACTTGCTCTTTGTTTCTTTGGGTGCTTTCCTCGTCAGCCTCCACCTCAGTCTCTTTGCTCACCTCGACCATGTTAACTTCCAAACTGGTGCTATCAGTGATCTTCAACTTTTGCAATTTGATTCTAAGGCCCTCAGTAACCTCAGCTATGTTGATTTCCTGATTGAAATCCTTAGTGGTTTTGATCATAGTGGTATTCTTGTTACGACCTTCAGACGCTTCGACCATGTTGATGGCAGGCTCGGTGTAATGGGCACCCGCCACCTGCAGAGGGTCTATATCTATCTTCATCTGTGGCTTAACTTTGTCCCCAAACTTTAGTCTTCCATCCTTAATTGCATTCTGCACCAGACCCCTGAAAAGAAAACACTGTGAGGTTTTGTGGCCCAAAAAATTGTAATATTCATAAAAACCTCGTTTCTTTCATTGTTCTGATGGAGGTATTTTAGCGCCAGGGGACACTATCATTTGGCCATTTTTGACTAGTGAGTCAAAATTTTCGTCACATTTGGTAACGTCGAAAGTATATGTTTTCTTAGGGAATTTATCGTTCTTTTTCGGTTCGATAAGATTTTTCCCATTCGAAGACGTAGGAACCTTGCATGAATAGGGTGACCCTTGTTTTAATTCGACCAGGTCAATTTCGTCAAAATTTAAAGGGTCACTATATGTTTCTTGATCATCTTCATCTAATTCGACATATGCTTCCCTTTTCTCCTATTATTCTTACTCGCTCTGGCTTTTTCATCCTTCAGGTGCTCTACCTGTCGAACTCTGTCGGCCAACTGGGCCATATCCCTCGAGTATTAGGTATCTGATTTCTTTCTGATGGAATAATCTAAACCACCAGTGGCCATTTCGACTAACTTGTGCTTAGCCACTTATGTGAAACATCTTTCCTTTAGCCAACAGAATCTATTGAGATAATCATCTATTGGCTCAGTAAATTTGCGCTTAATACTAGCCAATTCCTTCAAACTAATCTTCGACTGCCACATATAAAATTGTTCATGGAACAATCTTTTTAGACGAGTCCAATCATAAACTGAATTTGCTTAGAGCATAGTGAACCATGTAAAGGCATTCTTAGTGAGAGAATTGGGGAAGTATTTTGTTCTCAAATTTTCATTATTCACAATGTCCCCTGCCTCAGTTAGATACCTTTCCACATGTTTGAAGGTAGATTTACTAGTGTCTTCAGAAAATTTCATGAATTTTGGGACCTTCCATTCCCTAGGCAATTCGGTCTGCAAAATGTTGACCCCTACCTTCAAAATGTCAACATTGGCCTCCATAGGGAGATATAGTTTGGCCTATGGAGGCCAATGTTGACCCCATTTTGCGCCATGATCCTTTCGATCATGGCATCCAAGTTGTTATCTCCTGCCATATCGTCGTGTCAAACTCGATGTATGAGTTTGTCTGCATCTTGATTCCTATTAACCATTACCATCCTTGGTTCCCTCTCCCTTGGCACTGGTTGTTGAACCTGAGGGGGGTTCGAATCTAACTCCATGATTTTCCACATCTGCAAGGGGTGCATTTCACTAGGCTTAGTTAATGGTAGGATCCTCCTCAAGGATTTCTCCATGGTTTTCTACCACCCATTCCCTTCAAAGTTGTTGAGGTGCTTGTGGAACCCCAAAGAAGTATGCAATTCGCGTCATCTGCGCTGCCATCTGTTGGTTTATTTGGGTGATGTTTTGAATCAAGAGGTTGAATACTGCGCCCATCTGTTGGGCAAGCATATGGACCATGTCATGGTTACTTCTGTCCATTTGTTGCCTTAAGACAGCTGCAAAGTTTGTAGTAAAATTGGGCATTTGTTGGGCAAAAAATCCCACCCCTAGAGGTTGGTTGATTCAACCCATATTGTTAACAGTCAACCCAGACCCTTACAAAGGCGAAAATGTGTTCACCAATGGGTCAGGGAATGTTGATGTCACATTATGAAAATTTTCCATCATCGAATTTGGCATGTTGTATGGCTGTTCGTAACCATTAAAAGGCATTGTAAGTCCAGACACATAAGACCTGAATGTACCAAGTCCCACTGGAGGAGGGGTCACCGGTTGGCCCTGCATCCTCACAGGAGATAAAATTGGTCCTCTATGAGTGCTCGACGGTATGACCGTCGTACTCGCCGTGGATGGAATTGTTTTCCATTGCTATTTGAGGATTCACCATCCTTCTTACGTATCTCCTTCTTGGTATTGCTTCGTTATTAGTGGTTACTTTACCACTTCTTAATCTCATGCAACGAAGTTAGAGAAACCACAAATGAAGAACTTTTAAATGTTTTCAGAAATTAAGCAAAATCACTGGTCCCACTAGGCGTGCCAATTTGTTTACCGTCGAAATTAGTAAACAAGCGCTAGTCTTTCGAATTCTATATTTTTGATTACTCACATGATTGAATAGATTGATCCTAAGACATGTACTTTTGTTTTCTTCAAGTTTTATCACTTATAAACATTTCGACAATGTTCCTTTTGTTAAAAGTAATGTTAAAGTTTGTAAAGTAACGCAGAAATGTAAATAGAAATGTAAATAACTTCAAAGTAAATTTACAATGAATGTAAATAACAAAATTGTAAATGATTTGATATAAAAGTGTAAAAATGGTAATCAGACGTAAATTTCACTCAAGGACTCGTTTCTCAACAACACAAATACTTTGAGTAATATTTGAGTTTTTGTACAAAATGAAACACACGAATCCTAATCACTAAGATTCTATTTATAATAAATTAAAAATAACGGTAACAAATGATCTCTTATCCAGAAGATGACACGTTCTCGATTGCATGGACTTCGCTACTTACACATTTCCATGTGTCTTCTCAAGAAACGAATAAGGCCAAAAAATGATTATTAGCCTTATTTTGAATTACACTCGTTAAACGCAACTCCAAACAAACATCTTTGTCAACTTAAGTTTGAACCCAAGAATATTTATAAGTTCCAGACCAAAATCTCTCTCTATGTAAAAGGTCTTCTTCGACTATACCTTCACAAGCTTTTCGTCGAAATCAATATATTCTTTTTCATAATATCTCCTTTAGCTTTACTAACTTATTTTAAATACTCTTGAGCGTCGAAATTTCAGCTAACACCAGTAAAATGAGAATCAAACAAATTTATATAGCGATAAAATTCATTAAGTCCTTCGGTTAAAGTAAAAAAAAACGACGTACAAACATATCTTATTATCTCAGTTATTAAATAAACCAAGAGGTATGTTGCGCGCTAATTAGCTTTGAAAATAAAAATATGTTTTTATTAGGAATCGAACCGTTGACTTTTTGCATTTTAACCTCGGCTTTATAAACATCGACGGGTAAAGTTTTTACTTTTCATGTCACCATTCGTTACCTCGGCATTGTAACTGAGGTAAAGTTCATTTCGCGTTCGACATGACATGTGTTCTTTGTAGCAGTGTTTGCAGCAAATGCGATTCACAATCCCTGAACACGACCATCGATGTGCAATTCTTGAATTTCTAATCAAGAAGAACGAACTAGAGGCTTTAGATACTAATTTTTTCAGTACATAAGCATTTTAGAAAGAGAAGAAATGAGAGAGAATGAAAAAAAATATATTATTGATTGATAAAACAGAAATACATTATACATATACTTATATACAATAAATTACTTGTAACTCAAGTAACTAATCATAATAAACTAACTAATTTGTTTATCAAATAAATAATTAACTTGAATTATATCACAACTTTAGATTCATGTTTTTGAATTATTCTCTTACTTTATTCTCTTATCAACTTTATATTTTTCTTTTAATTTCATTCTCTCCTTAAACTAAAATATTACTTTATTTTCTTATTAACTGTCTATTTTTCTTTTAATTTCATTCTCCTTAAAATAAAATATTTTATAATAAAGAGAAAGTGAAACGAAGAGGGAGATATATAGAGTTATGATACTAATGAAGAGAAAAAATAGGGGAATGGATCCAAAATGACTATCCAAACCAAAATAAAATGGACTAAAAAGGAATATACTTTCTCCACCTTAATTTTAATAAATGAGCACAAAATTCTATTTTACCTATTTTTGACATTGCAACAATATAAAATTGGTCATAATTATAAGTGCAATGCAAGTTGCATTCTTCTTGTCTCACCCAACAATTTACTGACAAATAGAGACCTTGTGTTGAAAGAAAAGAACTCACAATATGTAAAGCACACTATTCCTAGCTCCCACTCACACCCCAACAAAATCTTACATCATTAACACCATTGAACATTACTCACACAACACCTTCTCCTCTCTCTCTCTCTCTCACCCACAATTTTTTTATTCAACTTTCACAATTTTCTCTCAAATGGGTATCAAAATATTCATGTTTTCCTTCATAATAACCTCAATACTATTCTTCTTTCTCTTCATCCCAACAAGATTAACCCTTCAAATCTCAACCATGAAACCCACCTCTATGGACTACTTCAACATCCTAAGAACAAACCAAACCTACCCAGTTACATTTGCTTACTTGATCTCATCCTCCAAAGGAGACACTACAAAACTCAAAAGATTACTCAAAGTATTGTACCATCCAAACAACTACTATTTGATTCACATGGATTCAGAAGCACCTGATTCAGAACATAAAGATGTTGCAACATTTGTGGCTAATGATCCTGTTTTTAGTCAAGTTGGGAATGTTTGGATTGTTGGGAAACCCAATTTGGTTACATATAGAGGACCAACTATGCTTGCAACTACTCTTCATGCTATGGCAATGCTTCTTAGGACATGTCAATGGGATTGGTTTATTAATCTTAGTGCTTCTGATTATCCTTTGGTTACACAAGATGGTAGGGTGAGTGTTCTTAATTTTTCTATGACATTTACTTGATTCAAGATTTGTTAAGGATTGTTTGATTTTGTGTTGAACTTTTTGGATTTTCAGATCTGATCCAAGTTTTTTCTGAGGTGCCAAGGGATTTTAATTTCATACAACATAGTAGTCGTTTGGGTTGGAAACTGTGAGTGAAATTGTTGCTTTGTGATTTTCTGTTTTATGATTTTGATTTGTATTAATTTTTATGACTTTTTTTTATGTCTAATTTTAGAAATAAGAGAGGGAAGCCAATGATTATAGATCCAGGACTATATAGTCTGAATAAATCAGAGATTTGGTGGATCATTAAGCAAAGGAATTTACCAACTTCTTTTAAACTCTACACAGGTTTTTATTTTATTTCCCTTCAATCTCTTTTTATCTATATTTTATGTTTCTAGAACGAACATCAGAAACACGACACCGATGAAACACGACACCGATTAGATTGATACTATTGATAATTTATAAAAATTAAACTGCACGGACACAAATTTTTTTTAAAGTATGAGAAGTACATTAATGTTTCACCTCTTATCCATTAATCATGGAAAGTAGTTTAAATGGTACTAGTAGGTGGTTGGTGTTGAGCATTCATGTGTATAATGTGGTATCAAGAAATTTTACCTAACTATATGTAAATTGATTGAAACTCCACAACTTCCTCTTACCCACTAAGATTAGTATTTATCTATTTTGATCAAATTTTGCATGATGAATTTTAGGGAAAGATGTGGAGATTAAGTATTTTTTGTTTTTTATTATTTATTTAATAAATTGTCTTTATTAAAAATAATAAGTTATATGTAAATTTTTAATTTATAAATCTTGAAGATAGACATGTGACATCCTTTAAGATAAAACAGAGGAGAATCCATAGACATGTGGTCATTTCTAGATGCAGATGCATGGTGCCTTTATTTTAGTAATAAAGTTGTTGATTGATTTTACTATTCACGTGACAGTAGAGGAACAGAGTACATTTAGTATATAAATGGTGCATTAGTAGTTTATTGATAATGAACTAGACTTTGTGCGAGTTGAACAGAACTGAGTCTGTGTCTGTGTAGTAGCAGTCCTCTCTTGAGATATAAGGTTACATATATATCCTAGCTGAGGCTGTGATCGCAGCAGCTAGTTGTACAGCAGAGTTCTGGTTCAAAAAATCTGAGTCCATCTTGGTATTGCGGCTGCGAAGTATTCTCGCTAAGCATATCAGCGAATATCAACTCACTATTCCTGGGCCCAACCTCGAAATGGCCAAGGCTTGATAATCGGATATAACTCGGAAACCGGCTTGCGCTGAGTCTATACCTCTCTCTGGCAGCATGAGTTTTTTTTTTTTTTTAATTATATAAGGTACTAGATTATATAGATTTTGATTTTTTTTTTTAATATAAAAAGTTTTTCAATTGAGGCGATAAAGATGAGGAAGATAAAAAAAATTATTATAATTTTAAGTTAAAAAAGAATATTTGAATTATAGAAATGTAAAATAAAACACCGTAATTTAATTTTAAAATGTAAAAGAAGTGTAAAATTTTCAATAACTTCTTTTTATTTTATTTTCCAATTTTTCAATAGGTTTAAAACTATTCATTCTTTATTATATTAGTCTTTACTACATCGTAGATTGAAAAAGTCCCACATGCAAACTACTCAAATTTTATATTAATCAATCATCACATTCAACATTAAAATCTGAATAAACTCGTCATTTTACATTGACTTGGTAGTCTAAAATGGTACTACCACCGTTCTAAATTATAAAATATTTTGTGTATTTTACACGAATTATAAATTTTAATTATTATTTTATAAAAAAGACTTTACAATAATATCTTTTATAATTATACAACAGAGAAATTAAAAGAATCAAATGAATAAATAATAATAAATATTTAAAGATTTAAGAAAATGTCATTGATATTGCATTTGTTTTAATGTAAAACGATTTATAGTTTGGAACAAATATTCTTGGCTAAGTGATTTATAATTCGAGTCTGAGGGAGTAATAAGTAAGATATTGTTGAATGTGTCTCTCTTGATTTTTGGATGAGGAGGTTCTTTTAAATATTTGTCTTTTACTAAACCCTTAATTTGATGTGTCTCTCTTGATTTTTGGATGAGGATGTTCTTTTAAATATTTGTCTTTTACTAAACCCTTAATTTGAATATATATATATATATATATATATATATATATATATATATATATATATATATATATATATATATATATATATATTAAATTTAATTGAATTATCCTTTTAATTTCAATTATTTATAATTTATCACTATGTTATAAGATATTTATATATAATAGATTATAAATGGTAGCTAAAATTTATTGTTTAATTTTATAACATGCTAGCTAAAATTTAAACCGTATTATAAAATTAAACTCAAAATATAAACCGCATTATATTTTTATTTAATTTTAAATTATTTATAAAATAATTAAAGATAATAATATGAAAAATTATAAATCGTCGTATAATCGCTCTTGTGGGAAAGAGAAGTTAAGATTTAGAAAAAAACTAAAAAGAGTATATTTGGAAGATTAAAAGGCTACACCAAATTTATATTTTGCTTTTATATATAATGGCGTCCATACGGTCATTTGTGTGCCCGTCTATATGCATTTTTATTGCAAATGATATTTTTTTATTTAATGTTAATTTTAAATGGAAGTTAAATAGGAAGTTATTAGTAGGAAGTTATATGAAAGATGATATTAGTTGTTCAATGGAAGTTATTGTGTAAGTTATACATTTTTAAATAAGGGTAAAATCGGTAGAAAATTAGGCTACACTATCAAATTTTGTCTTTATATATGTTATAGATTATAGATTATTATAGATAACTGCAATTATAATTCAGTATTATATTTTAAAAACAATTTGAAGAATTTGTCTTCCTATTTAAAAATTATTTTAAGCATGATAATGGAAGTTTATGTATGAAGATAAAATTATTTTAAGCATGATAATGGAAGTTTATGTATGAAGATAAAATTTATAACATGTAAGCACAATTATAATTAAGAATTATATATTAAAAAGAATATTGAAGTTTTTGTTTATATATTTAAAAGTATTGTTTGACAATTTTATTTCCAACATTATAATGTGATTTTCTTTTATTTGTTACTATAGTTTTAAAACTAATACATAAATTAATTTTTTTTTTCAGTAAAAGTATTTTATTTCAATTTTTAAAAAGGAAAATATTATATGTGTTTGACTTCAAAAGTTGCATGACATAATCTACAATTGTAACATTTTTCTTTTCATAAACTAATTTGATGATAAGTTAATATTCTCAAAATTCAGGTTCAGCTTGGACAATAGTATCAAGATCATTTGCTGAGTATTGCATAATGGGTTGGGAAAATCTACCAAGAACCCTACTTCTCTACTACACCAATTTCGTCTCGTCGCCAGAAGGATATTTCCAGACAGTAATATGCAACTCAGAAGATTACAGGAACACCACTGTCAACCATGATCTTCACTACATTACTTGGGACAATCCTCCAAAACAACATCCTCGGTCTCTAGGACTTAAAGATTATAGGAAAATGGTTATGAGTTTGCGTCCGTTCGCAAGAAAATTCAAAAGAAATGATCTTGTTCTCGATAGAGTTGATAGAGAGCTTCTGAAAAGGTATAAAGGAGGGTTTTCTTTTGGGGGATGGTGTTCTGAGGGTGGAAAGAACAAAGCATGTTCAGGTTTGAGAACTGAGAATTATGGTTTGCTTAAACCTGGTCCTGGCTCAAGAAGGCTCAAAAATTTGTTTAAGAAAATTCTGTCTGATAGATTTTTTCAACGAATGCAGTGTAGGTGAACATTTTTTTATATATAAATTGGATATTACATTGGTATGTTTGGATATAATTTTGCAAGGGATTGAGAAATTTAGATGATTTTATAAAATTGGTTTTGAGATGATCGATTAGGTGTTCTTGAGTGTTGTTAGTGAACTAAATATTTATGCAGCAAAAATATTTATATATATAGGGGTGTGCATTGATTATAAATCAAATCAAATCATATATATGGTTTGGTTTGAATCTTAAAACCATTTATATAAAATTGGTTTATTTTTTTAAAACTAGTTTACAAGTAGATTGGTTCGGTTTTAAGAAAAAACTGTTTTTTTAAGAACCAGTTTTAAACCGGTTTCTCTCAAAACTAATTTTTTTTTTTAAAAAAATCAATTTTAAAACCAATTTTATAAAAAAAAATAGTATCTCTCTTTTTTTTTTTTTTTAATTTTATTGATTTGAACAATTAAAACATTATTCCACAATTTTAGTTCATTAGTAATATTTTTCTATAATTTAAAGTATAAAAAAATTACAAAGAAAATATTCCACAACTAGTATATTATACAAACTAAGTAATTTTAACATCATCATAATTTACTATGAAAAAAACATTTGAGCATCATGCATGCTACTCAGTAACTATGGTAATAAAATTATGCAACTGATTCATTTAACCAAACATTTAAGTTCTCATGTGTTATAATCACAAAGTGAAGTAGTTCTGTTTGAATAGTGTTAGCAGAGACACCGATCATTTAAGGGGATAGGTATTAGCAGAGACCCTGAGTCAGATAGAAAAACGAAAGTAGTCAATTGTTACTTATAGACATATCTACAATGTATCATAGCAGATTGACATAAGTTATGGATTTCAGGGATGCATTGGCATGAATATTGGTTTAATACCAAATATCATGTTGCTACAAGGCAAACACCTTTTGAAATTGTGTATGGTAGAGAGCATTCAGTTACTGCACAGTGGATTCAAGGTAAAACTAGAGTTGAGGCATTGCACAGTTGATAAGGATGATGTTATTCACCAGCTGAGAACACATTTGCAACAAGCACAAGAAAGAATGAAAGTTCAGGCAAACAAGATGAGGCGTGAAATGAGTTTTGAGATTAAGGAGTGTTTGTCAAGCTTCGTGCTTATAGACAACAGTATGTCATATCAAGGATCAATGTGAAGTTAGCAACCAAATATAATGGACCATATACCATCTTTGAGAGGCTATGGGAAGTGGCATATAGATTGAAGATACCTAAGGGTCGAGGGTTAATCTGATATTCCATGTTTCATTGTTGAAGAAAGTTGTAGGAGATTCGAACTTAATAACTAGAAAGGCAAAGAGATTCAAACTTAATAAACAGGATGCATGCTTAAAGTTGTAGAATCTGCATAATACAGAAGTGTCAGCCTGGTAAATTGCATTCTCAAGGATATGTTTCCATTGGTTGTGAGCCATGCACAAGACCAGTTTTGCCTGGACAACATGAAAGAGAGGGAAGATGGTAGTGGGAGGATGCCAAAGCAAAGGAGTGTGGTCTTCACAAGGGTAATTTGAAACAGGATGATGCTGCCCAGAATAATGGTAATGGAAATGGTGTGGCCTATGCAAATGGCTCTGCCACAGTTGCCAACATTTTCAACTCTGAGAATGTGGTAAGCTTGAGCAGGGATGGAATTGAGAATCTGGCCAAATTGCAGGATAGAAAAGAACCCTGGATCTTTGTGCTCTATGCACCATGGTGTTGTTTCTGTCAGGTAAAATGATATGCTCTCTGTTACCATTAAGTATCTCACTTATGGTGTATTACTTCATTTTGCTTGAAATTTTCATTTCCATTCTCTAATAACATGTTTAATCTAAATTCTAACAGGCTATGGAAGAACAATATGTGGATTTAGCGGAGAGTTTAGCAGGGTCAGGAGTGAAGGTTGGAAAATTTAGAGCAGATGACGATGAAAATAGATCGAACAACTAATATAATGAAAATAGATCGAACATCTGATATGCAAGCATAACAACTGGGAGTTTAAAATTATAGCAGTATAGAAAATGCTCAAAAACTAACGGGCTCACCTGCCCACGACCACAACCGTATCTCAACACCTTCGCGCCGAACCCAAACACCTGCGCACGACCACGTTCGCCCGCAACTTCCTCTGTCGCAGAACTATTTCGATAAACCCATGATTATGATTTAGAGAATTAAGATACAAATGAGATTAAGGTTTGAAATTTGAAGAATGATGAAGAAGAAATAGATGGATAAAATTTGGATTTTGAGGATTAGGGTTTCTGAAATTTGTGTTGATCTTGATTTTCCCAAACTATTCTGCTTTTGTTTCTGAAGCTTATTAAAAAATGGTTACCGAATCTCAAACCGGTTTGGAACAAATGGTTACCGTTTTTTTTTTAATTTGATAAATGGGCCACCAAATTTAAAATATAAATTTGGTTTGGATTTTAAAATTTAGATTAATTTGGATAGAAATGTGGTTTATGGTTATTGGTTATTTTGCACACCCCTATTTATATAGATTAAGACGTTGTTTTTAGGTAATTTATGTGGGGGAATCTTGTTATTACATGTGATTGATAAAAATTTGTAGGCAACGTGTTCAACATTATGCGAGACATCCTATTTCGAGGTGTTTTATGGCGCAATTGTTGTAAGCAACATGTTAAATAAGATGTTGTAATATTATATACGAGACATCTTGATGTAGTCAGAAACACTAACCTGGTAATTTTTTGGAATCCATAAAAAAAGAATATACTTGAATTTTACCTTTACAGACACGCTCAAAGGTGTTTAAATACAAATGAAGGATCTGCAAGGATCCCTTGAAGTCAGAGAACTGAGACTGAATCAAAGAGAGACAAATAAAGATTCTAAACAGATCCTGATTGCTCATTCAAGAAAGGGACGTTCTGATGAAATAAAGAGAAGGTGGAAGCAGAGAAAAGGAAAGCATTAGAAAGAAGTCACACCAGATAGTAAAGAGAAGAAGAAGTTTGAAGAAAGATCTGAATCCTCTAAAAGAGGAGGATGATCTAGCAAATTTCAAAACAAGAAAAAGTTTTAAGACAAGAGAAAGATTCAATGCTACAACTGTGAGAAGTATAGACATTTTACTTCTGATTGTTGGTTTGGAAAGGGAAAGCAAAAGACTGGTGCAGAGGAAGCTAACATGGTGCAAGATGATTCAAATTCAGATCCTGTCATGTTGATGATAACAACCTTTGAAGGGGCTCCAACTTCTGATATGCGGTACTTAGACTCTAGTTTTATAATCACATGATTGGACACAAGGAGTGGTTAACTGACTTTAACTCAAACAAGAAGAAAAATGTGAAGCTGGAAAATAACAGAAGCTTAATGGTAGAAGGCATGGGCAAGATTGTCATAGAAAGAAAGGCAAAACAAAATTGATAGAAGATATGTCATTTTTTCCTGATATGCAATGTAATTTACTGAGCATCAGTAAATTGTCGAGAAAGGATTCTTAATAATCATGGAAGGAGGCCCACTGAAGCTATATGACAAGAAGAAACTAATGGTTCTGAAATCAACTCTGGCAAGAAACAGAATCTGAAATGCTAGCTTAAAGGCCTCATAATCACAACATCATTACTCATCAATTCCTTATGAAGAGAAGTCGGCTTTGACACAAACGGTATTGGCATCTGAATTTTAGAAGTTTGGGCAAGCTGAATACTATAAAGTTAGTAGAAGGATTGTCTAAGATAGTAACACTTGATAAAGCATATGACATTTTCATGCTTGGGAAACAAAGTGGGTTACCTTTTGTGAAGCAGGTGTCAATGAGAGCCAAACATGTACTGAATAGTTTCATCTAACATTTGTGGTTCTTCTGAAATTCTTTCTTGTGGAGGAAGCAAGTACTTCATCTCATTTGTAGATGAATTCAATAGAATGTTGTGTGTGTACCTGATAAAGACCAAAGTAAAAGCTTTAAACATGTTCAAAAGGTTTAAGGCTATGGATGAAAACAGAGTGAAAAACTGATTAAGATACTCATGACAGATGGATGAGGGGAATACAATTGCCATGGATATAAGCAATTTTATCATGAAAGTGGCATCGTGCACGAAGTAACCCCTACACACCTTAACACAATAGTATGATTGAAAGAATGAATAAAAGCTTGGTAGAAATGGCCAGGAGCATGTTGAAACAAAAGTCATTGCCTCATAAATTTTGGGGTGAAGCAGTTTCTACTGCTGCTTATGTTCTAAATAGATGTCCTACCAAGAATTTAAAGAATCAAGTGCCAAAAGAATGTCGGCCAGGAAGCAAACCTTGCATCACTCATCTCAAGGTATTTAGATCATTATGCTATAGACATGTTCTGGATGAAAGAAGAAGCAAACTTGAAGATAAAAGTGAACCTATGATCTTAATTGGTTATCATCCAACTAGATCATATAAGTTATATAATCTAGTTACTGAGAATTTGGTGGTTAGTAGATGTGTAATCATCAGAGAAGCATAGTCCTGGGATTGGAACCAAGGTAGAGAAAGAAGAAGAGTGATTCCAATGCATGCCTCTTTGGAGCTAAACCTTACAATACACCAATGCAACCTCACTTACAACTCGCCAAAACACTTGACATTCCTCTTTCTAATCCCACTGCATATCGAAGACTAATTGACAGACTCTTATAACTAACTCACTTTAGGCCAGGAGATAGCTTATATAGTAAGCAAGCTAAGCCAATTTCTTGACGCTCCAACTGATAAGCATGTGATGACTGGTCTTCATGTGTTACTATACCTCAAAATCATTACACACGAGTCTATTTTACAACCTTCAAACAAAGTTAGAAATTCTTGACATGCATTTTAGCTTGAGGGGGGATGTTAAACATAATATGGATATTGGTGTAACTAACTAGTTCATTGAATAGATTAATTGAATCCTAACTAACTTATAGTTAGTTATCAATTGGTTAAATGGAGGTTCAAGTTAGTTACAAATTACTTACTCTACAAGTAACGATATTCTAGTGTATGCATGTATGAAGTTGAGTAATGAATATTTTTGCAACATATCTTTCTTCTTCATTCTTTCTTTCTGCACTTTTATATATTTAGCTTGATTTTTAACATTTTTATTAAAGTGAACATGAGAATATACTGAATGGTGAATTATTGAAGTGAACGAAAAAATGTACTACCTTTTAATGTAGGGTAAAGAAAATTGATATTGAGTTAGTTACTTTGGCTTAATGGGATATATTACAATAATAATTAATAAAAATTGTAAAAATTAAAATATAGAAAAAGTTATTAATATTAATAATTGAAGATGATATATATTAATTAATAAATCAATTAATTAATTAATAAATTAGAAAAGAGAAAAAACATTGACAATTTTTTAAATAAAATTATAATTTAATATGATAAGATCAACTAACTATAACTTCTTATTTACACCCATATTTACTAATATATTTTTTATAATTTTAAATTAAATCAATTTTACATTTATTCTTAAGAATTTAAATTTTTACCAAATACATAAGTTTGCAATAATATTCCAAAGAATAATAATCTTAAAACTACCATTTCGAACAACATAAATCTAAACCTTCAAAGAAACACATGTCAAAATAAGTTTTTATTTTTATTTTTACTTTTTTATAAAAAAACTAAAAAAAATTGCTACAAGATGTGCACACACACAAATTTCTGATTTCTCTCGTTTGAATTCGCGGGAAGGTTTTATTCGCTAGCGAAATTCCGAAAATAGTTATCTCATATTTAAAAACTAGGGCTTTTTTGAAGGGATATTTGGGATTTCATCTTGCCTTCTCCTGCCGCAATTCCATCTCTGCTTCTCTACGTTTTCTCCGATGGTATATTTCTTCCCCTTCTCACACTCAACCTCTCTCTAATTCTCTGTTTTTCAATTTTTATATATTATCCATGATCTATTTAGTTTTCGATTCCCTTTCCTTTCAAGCTTTTGGTTCTTCAAGATTGATAATCATCGTGTTATACACTTATAATGTTATAGTTTCTGTTTTGTGGTGTCTTTTTTCGATCTATTATGGATATTAATTGAAAATTTTCATCAACCTATTATGGTTACAGGTTGAGAAATTGAATGCAATGGCGAAAAAGCATGAAAAAAGGCCGGTTGTATTGCCAAACAGTAAATTCAAAGGATCTTCTTCAAAAGATCTGCTGTGCGAGCACAGAGATAGTGATGATAGTGAAGATGACACCAGTGCAGACTCTCAAGATGAATTAGAAAGCTTCTCTGATATCGATGATCGTGAGGTGAATAACAAGTAGATTGTTTTCTCAATAAAGCATGGACACAGCCGCACACGACACTGTAATAATTTGAAAAAATGAATAAATTGACTGTAGTAACAAGTGTTGGTGTCTGCCACTGCCATTGATATTGCCATTGTTTCAGAGGTGTTGGTGCTATAGTTGTTTTCATAATACACATCTGCTTTTTGAGCTTCAAATTACTATTACATTGTTTTGAAGTGGAAAAATTAATTACAGAAGCAAAATACCTACTCACAGTTATTTACAAATCAGTATGATCCATAATTTTATGTTTGAGATCTGAATCCAACAACATCCAAAAGTAATAAGCTCCATGCTTAATTATGCCCAGTTTGTGTGGTTGATAATCATAAATGATTATTGTTTCTCTTGGCCAAATTTATTTTTTTGTTTGTTGGTAGGCCCTTGATATTGCTTTGCATTACACATATTTGTTTTTCTGCTAATGTACTATCAGGTCATTGTCATGCATAACACACTGATTTTTCTCGCTGCCGAAATGCTTCATAGATTGATCGGTACCTTTTCAATGAGGAAGAGAAGAATTACAAGAAGAAAATATGGGAAAACACGAACCGCGAGTATCTTTTGGTACATACAATTTTACTTTATATTTGTTGTTTTAATAGTGCTGAATAAAGTAGTCTGTCAGTTCTTCCACTCTATCATGATTGTCAGTATTTTGTTGGAGTAAATGTGATCTGGAACTCACTCAGCTTTATGTTTTCTTTCAGGAGCAAGTAGCCAAGGAATTAGCTGCATCAATGCCAAAATCCAGAAAGGTACTTCTTGAATAAATTTTTAGTGAGGTTGTCAGCGACAAAATAAAATTTTCACTTTTGCTATGAAGTCCGCAGTTATATTTGTAGTTCTACTTTCATAAGTCATGTTAAAAGTGCATTATGTTATTAATTTTAATCTGTGTTTTATTAGCAAACCATTAACCTTGCATATTGTTTTCCAAATTATAAAACTATAGTCTACTCTACTAGATTTTGACCTATCTATTACCAATTTCGTTAAAATTTGGTATGCTTGAACTGAAGAATGTGATAGTTTCTCATAAAATCACATCATGTAGGAAGCTATTCTCTGTTTCTGGTACAGGTGTGCCTAGGATAGTCTTGATACTAATATCAATTGATCCTGTCCCATGCTATAACTTTATGACTAGAGCTAACCTAATCTTCAATAATGTGGGTGTTAGACTAGATATGATATTTGGATATTATGTAGTATTATAGTTTACTGAGCAGGATTAGTTTTTATTTATTTATTTTTCAAAATCTCTATCTTAGATTATCTTGCAAGATTAGCTTCCCTGTTTTGTAGTTATTATTGTGATTTGTTTCCCAATTTATCTATGTACTTGGGAGTTTGGAGTCTTTTATTAGTAAAAATAAGTGTTGGTTCGTAGTCTTCTGTATCAAATTATTATCAATCATGTTGTACCACAACATTAATGTGGTATCCGAGTGGTACCATCCTACCATTATCAGTGTAACTTTTGCGCTAACAAGTTTTCTAGTAATGGACCTTCACCAAAATTAGGAACTATATTTTCCAAAATTTCTTCGTTTGGGCTTTCCTCCACTGTATTCTCTTACAGCCATCCTCCTCCTGTGTTGTTTGCTGCATCTGTAGTATCTGTTGTTTCCAAAATTGCCTGTTAGCTGCCTTGTTCCACCTCTTGAAAATTTACCAGTGAAACCACCACTGATGTGTTAACACTTCATGTTTTGCTTCATCATCTATTGGTGGCGACACTAATGTCAGAAACCAAATAGCTCATTTTATTCCACAGTTCAACTCCAACAGCTTCTTCTAAGGGTAGTTGGAAGTTTGCAACATCTTATTCCAGCCTGGTTTGCTAACTGTTATGCAAAGCTCAACTTCTATGTCCATGTGTTTTCATGATGAATTGAATAATCCTAGAAAATAGAAAAGTAAGACGAAACAAGAAAGAAATGTTAAAGCTAAGGAGTGTAATATCAGAACACCGAATGTGTGTATGCATTTGTTTATGTATAGAACTTATTCATGTTCCTTTTTATTCCCTAGTAACATGTTTGGAGAACTGAATTCATATTCTGATCAAACATACAAACTTTTGGTTTGTTAAATACACACTATTGTAGGGAATGAAGCAGAGACAAACTCAACAAGCAAAAAATCCAGAGCCTGCTCAATCTGCTGCAGTGGCCACTTGCCAAACGGTGAAAACAAAGGTATTTGTTCAATAGAAGACTTATCTATGCATTTTATTTATTAATCTTATTATATAGCTTCTAGACTTCTAGTATTTTTAGTCATATGCAAATAAGAGTACGCTCTCGCGCACACACAACACCTATATTTGTGAATTTGAAATTTTCCCTTGATGAAGTTTTTTACATCAATAATACTACTGCATCCAATGATGTGTTGCCACATCTTTTATTGAATATGACAACCCAAGTAATTTCAAACACATTAAAGGATGTGGCATCACATCATTGGATGTATGTGTTAAATAACTTTACATTGACAATGCATACAAATTAAAATCCATATCTTAATTTTTAATATATCAACACCTCACATCCTTCATTCTACTCAAGGTTGAAGAAATATATGTTCATTAAAAACCATTCCTTATCATTTATTAGTGTATTTATTCATCGGGCTGTTAGCTTGTGGAAGATATAAAAACATTAGGATCTTTCTAGACACTGAATAATTTTGGAATACCAACAATGCCTTAACCTTTGTCTTAGAATTCACGTGCTTGTTAAGCATTCTGGTCGTTGCTTCTTTTTTGTGTCCATTTGAGATAGTGGTGAGGTTACATTCATAAGTGTTTGTTCTTTTTGATTTATTATTATATACAATAGTTGTACTGGTAAGTTCAGTAAGCAATGTACGATGAATGTTTGCTATTTTAATCATAGGTATAACATCTTCTAAAATTATTTATATAAAGCTAATTACTAATAATATTTGCTTACTTGTAACCCTTGCAGAGGCTCAGTAACAAAGTCAATCACGATTGCCTGGCAAAGTTATTTGAAGACGAACCAGTAATTCTTTTGTTTGTTGTTCTACATGTTTAAAAGAAACTTTTTGGAAGTTGATTGTTTTGGAAATTGTTTTCTCATGATTAATCTATATTACAGGCAGGTGAACGTAATCCCAAGAGAGTACGATTTGATCTACCTTCGGATAATCAGTCTAAGGTTGATGACGACCAAGAGGATGATGAGCTGGGATCAGAGAATTATAACGAGGATGGTGACAAAGATTGGTATAATAATGAAAATATGGATGATGCATATTACCCTGATGAAGATGGTTATAATTATTATGATGAAGATCATTACTGATAAATTGCTAGATGCTGTTTCTATTGCAATCCATATTCAACATGGCTGGAGGCAAGGGAGCAGAAATTTTTTGAGTTCTTTGGAGGTTGAACTGTCATCTATTTGTTATAGATTTATTTAATTTTTGAAGGGATTTGTTATAGATTTATAAAAAAGTGATTTTTTAAATAAAAAATAGTAGAAGTTATTTTTTACATCTAATAATTTAAATATGTATTATTAAAATTTTAACATGATTAAAAGGACATAATTTTTATTAAAAGATATATTTAAAAATGATTTTTATTTTTAAATAACTTTAATTTTAAGTATTTTTTTAATAATTTTAATAGTCATAAAATACCTAATTTAAAATTATTTAAATCAAATTTAAGGGATTTTTTCTTTTCCGTTAGTTTGAGTTTTTTTCACTACTTTTTAGTTAAGATTGAATCTTAAAATAGTATTTTTAATGGTTAAGATTTATGGAAAGAGAATTCATTCTTCAAGCTCTAAATTATATTTTAAGCAATATCAAACTCCACATATTGGGAGAAAAAACTTAAAGCTTAGGATCTTATTTTTAATGGAATTGCAAATGTCCCTGTGCTAGAGACGTTCCTTATATTTTATATTGAAAAAAGTAACTCTTTTCCAAGGAATAATCACATTTTAGTAAGGTTTTAAAATTTAGACTGGCTTGATTAACCATGATAGTATTATTCTGCTCGATAAAATATTAAAATTCGATACAAATGTTATATTTTGAAGAATGGAAGGAACAATTTTGAATCAAAGTCACGCCGAGTACTTCGACTACAGGGGGAGGGAAGCTTCGCGTCCTCGCCGCTTCTTTCTGGCGACTAGCTTATCAAGTGGGTGGTTTGGCAAGCAAGCTACCTTCAGCATCGGTAAAATCCCCATCAATAATAGGCCGGAATGGTGGGGGAGGAGGTCCCCCTACTTCAATGGAAAGGGGGGAATCGCCATTTCACAACCGCTCCTCTACAACTAACTACCTTTCGCCCAACATGATCACGAACGAAGACAGAAAATTGCGTAGATAGAAGGACGAAACCAACTTGTTCTGATCGGAACGATTGAGAATGGTGGCCCCTTTCTGATGCAAAAGTTATAATTTGATGAACATTTATATTGTATAAATTATTTATGTAAATTTTTATATCAATCACAAATTATTTAATGTCATTTATATACATCATGCTTATCGTGGTTTAATTTAATACACACTAAATAATTTTACATTTACTGAAAGTTATTGGATGGTATAACATTTTAAGAAAATATGTATTTGATAGAAAATTATTGAGTGGTATAACATTATTTAAATGCTAAATTGGTTAATTTTTTATTAGGGACAGCAAAATAGATGGATTGAATGAATATGAATTGGATTGTTAATGGATGGATCAAAACAATTCATTAGTCCATTAACAATTCACTAAATTTTTTTTTAAAAATTATCTAATCCAATCTATCTGTTAACAATAAAATTCATCAAGTCAATCCATTAATATATTTTTAATAGATGGATATTCATCCATTTAATTTTTTTTTATTTTAAAAAAATAAACGTATTTTTTTATTTTTAAAAAATCGATTTTATTTTATTTTTGAAAACTTCACTTTTTGTATTTAAAAAAATAATTTTTTAATATATTCATGAAAAAAATTAAATTTTTTGTATTTTAAAAAAAAATTGATATTTTAATTTTGGAAAAATATCGGTTTTTTTTGGGAAAATTTAAATTTCTTGTATTTTCCAGAAAATTAATATTTTAATTTTGAATTTTTTTTTATTTTTAATTATTTAATCCAATCCATTAACTTATTTTTTATGTGGTGGATGGATTGGATGAATTTTTTAATAGATAAATTGGATCCAATTGTCACATCTAATTTTTATCAGTTTTATACTTATTTACTCGACTGCACAACACAAAATTGCTCATTAATCTTTTTTACTATGTAGGATAATCTAAATTACATATTTTATAATGATCTAAGTTACATTAATTTATTCAGATGGTTGTTTCAACCTAACTAGATACACATTTTTATTAGCAAAACTAAGAATATTTATGATTTGAGTCCGTCTGGAATTTTTTACCATTATACCCAACTTTTAAGACACTATGTGCCATATTACCTAACATTTCAAAATATATCTCAATCTACCCAAGTTTTAAACAAATTTTTTTTTTTAAAAGAGGGGACGCCATCCAGGATGGAGGCACCCTTATAATTTGAAGGGAGGTGCCATCCATGATGGAGACACCCTTAAAATTATAAGGGGAGCGCCATCCATGATGGAGTCAGCCTTATAATTTTAAGGGGGGCGCCGTCCCCTTTGGAGCCCCCTTATTTCGTTTAATTATTTTATTCAAATATAAATATTATAATAAATGTTTATAATATTTAATACTATTTTATACCAAATTTTTTTTGTATAAATAGTTAGATTTGTTTTATCCAAATTTAGGAGAGTGAATCATGTATCTTAGAAGATATGGGCATGCCATTTTCTCAAGAACTAAGCCTCCGATAAGGGTGTTGTTTTGGAACATCCAGAGTTTAGAGCAACTACGAAGAAATTTGAATCGCTGGTTAGAAGAAGACATTCCAAATGGTGAAAGCATTAGGAGTATTGAAAGACTTGTTTCGTACTTCTCTATTGCATACGGAAATATACGGCGGGAGTGGGTGCGAATTAAAGATGACAACGAAGTTAAGTCTATGATGTTCGAAACTGATGATATTATTTTGATTGTTGTTATATCTTAGTTTATGTTGTAATAATCATTATATTTTTAATGATTTGCGTTGTTGCTCTAGAAATATTTCAATTTTTTTATGTGGTAATCAAAAGTTGTTATAAATATTAAATTCCAAGGTTACACATTTTTTTAATGACCAAAGTAAATCTATCTAGAACTTGTTCCAACATTTGGACAACTTTTCCTCGTATGCCCGGGAAGACAACATATTTCGCACAATCTTTCCATTTTCTCAGTTGTATCCATTTCAGTTGTAATTCGCGTGCTTTTCGGGCGGCCCTTTTTGTTTCTTCTCATATTTTCGTTGTGGTAGATTGTGTCTCCATGATAGGTTGGCCAATAGTCCTCACTAGCTACCACTGAAAAACTGTTATTGTAGATATAGAATAATTTCACGACCTTGTAAACTTCTGATAGTTGCAAGAATGGATCATGATGAGCACTGGAACATGCGACAATGACATGTGAGAAAGGCATGCAGAAGGTTTGAAACTTTCCGCAATCGCACCAATTTTTATGAATTTCCACCTTGTAGTGTCCCATTGGCCGACCCTCGTTGTGATCCATTGTCTCATAAAAAATGAAGCTGTAATCGTGACGATTAAATGGTCTAACTCGATGTGAGGCCGCCTTAGAAGTTTCATCCTTCATATATTTCATACATGATTCGCTGAATATTTGCCCTGATTCCAAAACAGCGCTCCATTTTTTGCCTTTTGTCGCAAAAAGTGACCCTAATCTGTAATAGGTTGCTCTTACCAACGCAGTGGTGGGTAGGTTTCTAGTTCCCTTAAATACGCCGTTTAGGGATTCTACAAGATTTGTGGTCATGTGACCCCATCGGCATCCTCCATCAAAAGCCCTTGTCCATTTCTCGACTGGAATGCTATCCACCCAGCTTAATGCTTCCGCGCTTGACAATCTTATTTCTTCGAGGTAATACATGAACGATGGTTGGTTTAAGGTATACCCAGCGCTCACAACTTTTTTACGGAGATTTCTGTCTTTCATTTCCCGCATAAAATTCTGAGCAATGTGTCTTATGCAGTAGACATGGACAGAAGGAGGATTGTGCCACCCATTAGCAGGATTGTTGTAGGAGCTCACAATAGAGGCATGTATATCGGAAATTAGACATAAGTTGGGTTGAGGAGCAACATGTGTTCTGAGATTTCTGAGTAAGAAACTCCAAGCTTCACATGTCTCACCCTCGACCAGGGTAAAGGCAATCGGAAATATATTATCATTTCCGTCTTGTGCAACTGCCATCAATAATGTTCCTTTGTATTTTCCATACAACCACGTTCCATCAACTTGAATAACCAGTTTGCAGAACGCAAAACCTTTGATACACGGTTGAAATGCCCAAAAGAGACGAGAGAATATCCTACTTCCATTACACATGTTCCTTCAGGAGTGTATGCTGGAAGTGACTCCAATATTACAACCGTACCAGGAACATATTTTTGAAGTGCTAGTAAATACTGTGGAAGTTGATTGTATGATTTTTCCCAATTCCCATATACATGTTCAACCGCTTTTATTCTTCCAATCCAAGCTTTCCTGTACGATAGGGTATAGTTGAATCGTGAAACAACATGAGAGATAATTGTGCTCACCTTCACAGATGGATCTACGCCCACAAGATGCAAAATCTCTTGGCATATCAATTGAGAGCTTAGTTTTCCATGATCTTGCCGATTGATGTTGGTTGTGCAACTATGAGGTGGATCCATCGAACCTATCTCCCAACAATCACTTCTTTTCCGATAGGACGCTGCTAACCGAAACTCGCAATATTCGTTACGACAAACTACGACATAGCGTTTTGAGTCATTCCGATTTACTTCAAAATCAACGAAGTTATCCATATGAAACTTTCTTATAGCTTTCATGCACTCTGCTTTTGTGCGGTACTGGTTCCCCACTTTCAATACACCTTCGATTTGTTGAGAAGGATTGTAGAAAAAATCTGAGGAAGTATCGTCTCCACTCAATTTCAAGTTAGTCATGTGTTGGGGAGGACAATACATATGACTTAATGGTACTGTCTCTTCATCTATGTCTTGAAGTGGAGTTATTGCGGTGTAGTCCCCAGTCCCGAACAAATTAACCATTTGATCAACCATGGCCTCAGGTTCTTCTTCCTCCTCGTCCACAACATCAACTTCATCTAGATCCATTGTTTCGTCGTGAGATTCACCAACTTCATGTTGAGTCTGG